AGATCTGAATGAGTATCTAGATGCAGTTTTGAACGCTGATTATGAATTTGACATTCAGGCCTCGCAGCGGTCCTTCTTTCCTTCTTTTTTCCTTCTTTTTTTACAATGTCCTTCTTCGTCCTTCTTTAAGCCTAAAATCCTTCTTTTCCTTCTTTTTTATATTTCATACGAATAGATTCTCAGAAACATGGAAAAAAGTGACTGGCAATACTTAGTTAGACTTTGACGTTGATAGGGAGCTCTCAGAGTTTCAGAAAATGTTCTATTTACCTCAAGTCCAATGTGCAGTATGTTATTCTTAGACTAAAATATGCATGTATGGCTTCAATCTATGTGGGGCACATATGCAGAACTCGAGATACGTAAAACGATGCTTCTCTATAATACGGTTACTGTCGACAATTTCGAACCTTTACTCTGCGACACAGCGTAGCGGAAGCTGAGCCATCTCATAGTCAGAGTCTTATAGCTGTCTGTGCGAATGGTCTTTCGTAGCGTATCGATGTTCAATCACGATTGTCAGATTATAGTTTAACATAACAAAAGATGCAGTTTTATTGGAGATAGAAGTAACTAGTGTGCGTGTTACCTCTTTCTCAAGAACAGAGCGAGGATGGTGCTACATATCTATAACGGCCTATTAATGGATAGATTGATCATACACGAATTTTGTGATCGCTACACAGCATGGCAATACATGTGAGTGATTGGTGTGCATGACCTGTAAGACTATCGAGAGAGTCATTGAGACATAGGGATGACAACAACTTTCATGCATGTCGCACGATCAAGAAGACGACTGCTCGTCTTTGAAATTCATTTTCTATTATTATTCGCTATAAAACGAGAAGAATTAGTGGCGTAACCAGAGTAGGCCATAGTTGGACTCAGCCCAACCACTACCGATTAAAGAAAGGCATATTTTTTTTTCAAAACTGTAAAATTAGTAAAGCAGAACGATCTATATTGCCTTATTTCTGAGTTGATATTGATTTTATCAGTCGATTAAGTGCATTATTAAGTATCAAGTATCTGTCCACTTCCAGAAATGCAAATTTTAAATAGAATATCAACATTGCGTTGAGATACGGAGTATTGTTGACAATTGAAGGAGTCAAAAAAAACTGGCGATATATATAAACGCTGTGCTGTGTCTATTGTTTAATCAAATTTAATTTCTTAACAGAGATAAAAAATTTCGGCCATATGCCACTCCCATACCATGTAATTTTACTTCTTTTTTTCGAATCTCCACTTTGACTATAACTCTTCATTCTTTTTATACACCACCGAAGCTCTGCTAAGAAAACGCATAAACTTCGAAATTTATCTGAACTCAAGCTTATTCTTGCTTATCTCTGGTTCTTGAATCGATGTTGAAAATTCAAAATCCGAAAATATCAAAATGATCTCTAACTTGAACTATTAACTTGGACAATCAGCATTTCAAACAATAATATCATATGTCATCGGTGCTATAACTCTATCAGTGTCATTCGTCACCTCTCAACGAACATTTAGCAAGATGAAATTAATAGAGACGACTATACTTAATACAATATTGGATATTCATCTGAGCGATTTATATATATTAGAAGTGAAGCGTCAGTCCAACGTCTCCTTCGAAGAATTCATCAACAATTTCACTGATTTGCATAAAAATAGCAGTTTTATTCAAATAAAATGTTGCGACCTTCGGATCTTTTCTCTATTGAACACACTAAGCACAATTTTAAAAATAAAATCTGCTTTTCAAGATAGATTCTTTAATGTACTTTCGCTGTCTAAAAAAAGATATAGTGCATTACTCTCAGTTAACGTCCTAGAGTTTGTAGAGCGGTGCCCGACCGCCCGACTATTTCTGGTTACGTCACTAAGGAGAATGTCCTTGAAACGCGACAAAATAATAATTCGAAAATTATTTTACTCCTTGAACTCAGTCCTATTGTTTCTAACTGGATGTCGTATAAAATCTATTCATTGCAGCGCCCTATTCCGAAAAATTCCTTCTTTTCCTTCCTTTCCTTCTTTTATTCGAATTTCCTTCTTTTTTAATGAAAAATTCCTTCTCAAAATCCTTCTTCTTCGTACCCCTCGGCTGCGACCCCTGGACATTTATTTTGTACAAAAATTAGCTTTTGGCATTGAAAACCGGGTTTTAAACTTTTGTAAAAATCGTATTTTGGGTTCTATAACCAAGAAATTTTTCTAAACAAAATCGAGAAACATACCTTTCGATGCAGAATTTCATTCTCTACAAGTTAATCTATTTAGTTTTGACGGTTGTGGCTAAGGAAAATTTGTAGACTCTTATACAGTTTCTAACTTATTCCGTCTCTTGTAAGCTTCATCCATGACGATATATCGATCTCGTTCTTGCGTAGAACGATTAGTTATACAGAAAAGACGAACACTTATAAAAATGAAATCATTCTGAGCATGTTAAGTACATCAAAATTGGTCGACAAAAACTATGTCACAGCGTTACGTTTGGAAAAGCCGTAGAGAAAATCTTTCGATTCTCTCCTACTAAATATATATTTAAAAAAGTTGATTCGATTAACGATTAATTTGAACAAAAATTATTCTTTAATAAATTGTTTTTAAGCGTAATAAAAACATCGAATGTTATTATTGATAAGACAATAAACAATATTCGTCTATTTATATTGAATAAAACAACTTTATTGTTAAAATAATCGTTTAAGATATTTTCGAAGATTTTTTAAAAGAATTTCCCATTCTTTTCATTAAAATAGATTAACTAATTCAATTTATCTTAAAATATTTCAATCGATCGTTCTATATCAGTTAAATTCTATGAATAGAAACCAAAATAATTCCGATGTGAATAAATGATTTATCAATTTTGAAATCATTTATTAGAACTAAAAACACTCGAATAAATCTTCATGAATTCATATTTCATAAGATATGAAAGAATACTGACAGAACAATTCAAGCAGATACTATTCGATTTGAAATAAAATAGTCAAATATTCAGTTAGAATAAATGAGTCTTTTTTTTAAATATTTCAGGTGAAAAAAAACATTGACTACTTATTTGTTTGATTTTGCAATGTCAACTTTGAAAAATAAAATAATTATTTTAATCGAATACTTTCGTATATAATTAAAATGAAGAGAACTCTATTTAAAATAAAAAAATAATATTATGATCTAATCGAAAGAGTATTTGCATTCAAATCTATGTATCTATATAGTTTATCCTATTGTATAACTAATCGTTAATATACTGTTTAAAGAAGTTAGTTCGATTGAATAATTCTCTTGTCAATCAGAAAGAAAAAACCGGCCTTAGGAGGAGTTCATTTGAGTAAAAATTTGTTGATTAATCTTACATTTGCACAATTTAGTTTATAATTTTTCCAAAAAATATTAATTTTTTTGTGTGAGTGTGAGACTAAAACTATTAATGACATTCTACCCCACAAACCCACACCCTATATGTGTAAAATGAAAATATTTGATTAGGTAAATAAATAGATGGAAGATATCGAACGGAGAAAAAAAAGATAAAAACGCTTAGAACACCAAAATACAGAATACAAAATGAATGATTGCACAAAGAGTATCGACTCAACCGATAATATTAATAAATCGAATACTTATTTTCTTGTTAACTTGTAGTCTTCCTCACAAAAATATATATTTTAAGTCCATATTGTAAGTGAAGCTATGCTTAAACGGAAAAAGAAATGAAATAACAAATAGTTCATAGACTAGTGGATCTGATCAGAAAATTATAGGAAATGTCACATCCTCTTGTTTTTCATGATAAAACATGAATGTATTAATCATTGATTAGAAGAAAAACATTCTTTTCTCTCTCTCTCAATATAAAAAGAATCTATGATATTCATCCTATGATAATTGTCCAAACTTATCATCGATAATGAAACGGACAATTCTTACTTTCACGAGTTCTCATGCTAGGTAAATAATTTTCTTTATTAAGAAAATATATTAGATATTCGATAACAAATCCTTGAATACCTTTCAATGTTTGTTGAGTCTCAAAAAGAAAATAAAAACATTATTCAAAATATCTATAAAATATATACATTCGCAAATATACTTTCATTGTAGCAAAAACTTTTTCATAAATCAACGTATTTTGTTTTGCTACATCTTGAAAATAAGAATAAAATTCATCTGATACTCGATCAGTTACTTCAATGTTATTTGGAATGTCGAATCGAATACCTAACAGCAACCTAAAAAGTCAAATAGTTTTCTATGGAAATCATAGTAATTTTAGATATGAAACATGCTCAAAGATCTTTTTACGCCAGCTAGAACAAAATTTTTGCTGCAAGAACTGACTCTTCATTAAACCGATCATCTTCTTCTTCCAGATCATTTATTACAATACACAATTCACTATCACGATTACCAACTAATAAACGATCATTTATATTTGCAGTAACACATATAGCCATACGATCACCAATGATCATTAATTTTGAATCAACATATATTATTTCAGTTATATAAAACAACACAACGAATATGTGAATTGTATCAATGACAAAATATTTTACTTACTAGATGGCCCATTAGAATATCATGATTACGCATACCAAAAAAATTAATATAATCTTTTGGTAGAATTCCTAAATATCAAAAATAAAGTTGCATGACTAGATATATATATTTGAATTAGAGATTCATTTTCATTGTACTTGAAATCAATTCAAAGATATCTATTACGACTGAAAACCTGATTGTATTCGAAAAAACTGTTTCATTATCCATTAGTTAATGTTTTCTAGATTTTACTCTATTTTGGCTTTTTTAACTAGAAACAACAAGAAAATAAAATTCTATTTTAAATAAGTTATATAGAAATATGCTGGACATAGTTTTCAATTAAAGTATATAAAGAAGACCGTAAATTGATGGGTTTCGTCATCAAATAACTGAGGTTTAGTGTCGATGATATATTTAAAAAGCAATTGATCTTTATTCTTAAAATATTAATTTGCCTGCATTTTCAAGTCTTTTGAATAATGATTTATCATAATAAAATAGAGTACAGCTTGTACAGTATTCATGTTATCAAAATCAGGTAACAGAGGAAGAACAACGCAAACACAAAATTTTTTAGCATTTCTAATCAACCAAAGAAACTGTTTAAAATGTTATAGAATTAAAAAATATAGTTCATACTTATGTGCTCGTTCTATAATACGTCGAAGAAGAACATCAGCTAATTGGTTTTGAACTACTGAATCTTGAACAATAGTAATAAATAACTGATTCTAAATACGAAATAACAATCAAAAATTGTTTTTGTTTTTATATTTCTCTACTTCAATGTATATAAAATGTTTAGCAATATCAATCATTTGTATATAACCATTATGAATCGATGATTTCTCTGATTTTGTTCCCGCTGACCATGATCCAACTGAGTGAGCATACTAAATGCAAAATTCGAGTGAAAATAGTTTATAAAATGAATATTGATCTAAAATAATCATTTACTTGAACATTTACACGAAATGGCTCACTTTTAAGAAAATCCCTCCAATTTTCAACAGCTAAGTCTTGAACATCATCATAAGATTTAGGTAACAGAAATGGATAAAAATCATTTTTCAGATATGTTTCAAGCTTAAGAAAAAATAATTCACAATTAAAATTTGAAAAGTATTTTCTCGCTTTTCTGATAAATTCTATTTTCAGCGAATCAATTCATAACCGAACAATCAATTAGTTTCTTACGAAAGCAATTGATTACTGTCTGAATTGGTTATGAGGTCAAATAGTTGCCAAAAGATAACAAGAGTGTAAGTGGTTGTTTATGTCAGTTTTTGATGCTCATTTCATTTGTAGCCTCATCGACATTCCATCCTAAACCACCGTTAGTGCACTCAGAAATTTTGGAGATTATACTCAGATGTGTTTCGAAGTTGTCAAGCTTGGTCGAAGGATTAAATGAAATGTTCAAGTTGCTAAATGTGTTACTGTAAGTGTCACTATATGGATTTGGATCGAGAACAAGGGAACTTGAGTATGAATCAAACAAACTATAACCGTCTTCCGTATACCAATACCCATATCCGAAAAAATGTTACAACTTTTTGGCCTTGTGATGATATGTTCGGAGGGCGTTGTTCTGCAACGAACTCTTCGGTCATCATGAAATCTTCATCTATTGGTATCTGTTTTGTGAAACATCATCTGAACATAGTTTTGAAGTACATAAGGTAGAAATTCGAACACGACCCTTTTCCTAACAGAGCATCCGATACAAGATCAGCGATTATATATCACAGTATATCGAAGAAAACAGTATGCAAATGATTGGTAACAACAGCTACATCATGTTTCACATTTTAATCCTGCAGAGATTGGTCTAACAGCTGCTCAATCAAGCTATAGATTTAACTAATTATATTTGATTCGATAGTCTTCGGTTATGAATACTTCATCGTTGAATAAAATGTCGTGCAACATCTCGAGCAGTTTGACCAAATACAACTAATGCTTTATTATACCATGACATACGTGGCACTAATGTTCGTATAACACTATTTACAGCATAATTTACATTAGTAGAAGTAACATAAATGAACAAAACACATGAAAAAAAAATAAAGACCTTCTGTGAAATCTTTTGGAGATACATTTGAATAATTTTTTCCAATAAAATATCGATATTTTTTTTATCAGTTGCAGATGTTGAAATAGTATCTGATTGTTGTTCTTTAAGAATTTTTTCATCGTTAGAGTTTTCATCATCTTTTCCCACTGTCTAATTAAAACAACGACTTAGATTTTGTTTTAAATTACTTTTTAAAAAGTCTTACTATAATATGTTGAACTAACTTTCGACGAGTTCAAAAAATCGTATAGAATTGAAAGTAAAAAATATTATTTACATTGAGCAAAATATACTTTTTTTTCTTCTGCCATTCATAACTTTTCTCGATCAGATAGTTAGACAGTTTTGACTTTCCTCACGCTAGACGATAAATGAAAAACCCATTATTTGAAATAGAATAAATTTCAATTATGTATGGAATATAAATAGGAAAGAAAAGCCATTCAGATATTTTGAATTAGAAGGCACGCTCTATATAAATGAAAAGATGAGAAAACAAAACTAAACCTATATGAAAACTTTTTGTTATAGATATTCGTTTTTGGCTCTATCAAATGTTTGCTATAAATCAGAAAAATCAAAATTAGAATAAATACAATAGAAAAGAGTACAAGGTCTCAGATTTACAGCTAGTATGTTTTTTTTATTCGCTATCTTATTTTTTTGGAAAAATCTTTGATGATTCTTATCATTTTCTGATAAGAGGATGTCAAACTTCTTTTTGTTCTTATTTTTACAGAAAAAAAGGCACTTATTTAAATAGACAAATATTTTTCAGAAACTTTTCCGAGATATTTCATTCATCTTTCTTCTTCTGTGTATAAAAAGACCTCTGACAGACAGTGTAACATTATCGGTTATTTCAAGTTATAAAATATATGAAATAAAAATGCAGAGAAAATTTTAAGTTGCAAAACATTTATTTTTTTCCTTTTATTTTTGAAACATTTGCAGAACACATCTTAGTATAGACATAAGAATTTTAACCACTATATCTCTAATATATCCTGCAAATTTCATACTATTTGAATGAGAGTAATCAAAGCCAGTTTTGATGGAAGGAACAAGAGTACTGACTTCGGAAAAAATATGGAAGAATTAATTACAAAGAGCATGAAATCCTTATTCTATTTGATCATTTAAAATTGTCTCTAATGACATAGAACTAGTTCAACGAAAATTGACCAAACGTGTTATACAAGGACTTTTAAAACATAAGTTATTGATTTCATTATTTACTTGAACTAATTGTTGGAATTCCAGAGTAAATCCTTCAATTGTTTCTCCATCATCTTCAGATATACTTTCATCCTGTTGTTACTTGTGCGTCTTCAATATTCAAAAAATGCTCACAAGCAGCAATACGATTATTTTAGTAAATATAGGTTTAATGCTAGCGATATTAACGTGACAATAATATTAATGCAGTAACTTCTATGATTGTTGTTTTCGTTGATTAGTAGTGAGTGTATTAAAGATGTAAAATAATCATCATTACCATTGTCTGATTAGATATCATTTTAATTTTTATCTGTTTCTATTTAAATGATGACAATTTTGTAAAATAACAAACGAATGAAATTCATTGAAAGTAATATTATCGAAAATGAATTCATCAATCTTTTGTATAGTATCGTATATTCATCCTTATGCATACGAAACAGGCATGATATTTGCTATGATTTTCTTTTGACATGTAAATGTTAATCGTATCCCTTGATAATGAGATAAAAAGATTAGTAAATAATTTGGGAAAAAACAAAATGAGGTTTTTTCACATTCTTCAGCTACTGATTTCAAATTATATGCTGTACTATTTACATCAGTTGAATCAGGAAATTTAATGTCTGTATGTGTCCCATTTAGAGGATTGAATGATGTTCTCAGATTATTAAAACTCCAGAATAGATTCAAAAATGTTGTATATACAGTCAAACCAAAAACTATTCAGGCACCCTTCTAATTTTGTTTTATATTTATTGATTTATAAATCAGAAATAAGAGATAAATTTTTTCTTTTTTCACCAGTAAAAATTTCTCGATTTATATTATTTTCGATATCAAAATTATATGATGCGTATATCACTAGAGTGATTAAAACAAGCTGCATCCATTTGCATGATTATCAATACAGAAAAATAATATTTACAATAAAAGCTATTTCAAAAAAAGTAAAAAATCTCTGAATATGATAGTACAGATGAAAAATCAGGAAAATTTTTTCAACATTAATTTCGAAATATACTACTAGGGAGCTCATCAAAAGTTGTACGAAATCTAGCAGTTCAAAATATTTTCAGTGCA